AACTTCAGCTTCTTCAATTAAGCTTTGACAAAAAAAGCTGATTGGTTTCTATGCAGAACTGCACCATATTTTGCACTCTCAAGATTTAGTAAATAACCCTTTCAACTATGGTGCGCGTGGTTATGTGCCAGTCCCTGCATTATAAAAGGGTGGGTTCCCACCAGCCGTTTGTCAGGGTGTGTTGTAGTATTTTAGTGAGAGTGAGCAGTCTGTGCAAAGAGAGTTAGTTGTCATATGGCGCTATACTTTGCAATATTGTGCGCATGCACTGGGGATTGCAGTGTGGTGGGCTATATATTCTTGTGTACCCCCATGGTTCATAGTTCAGAGACTCAACTCTTAGGAATAATTTCTTGTGAATGTAGCCACTTGTTCTGATAGATTAAAAGGCCGGGATTTGGGTTTAGTCTTTTTTTAAGGGAGGGGAAGATGAAAGTACAGTTGTCTATAAATCCAGCTCTCCAAAGCCAGCCATAGTCCAGTTTTAGTAAATCAACCCATCTGCATTGGTTATGCATTGATTTAGCAACAGTGGTAGCAAAGTTTAAGTTGCTGCAATGGAAATATCATCATGATTTGTTTATCCTCTAGAGTAAGTTCTGCTTGAATGAAATTTTTTAAAAAATAAATTGCCTGTAAAGAAAAGATTTCCAAAACCTGCCTTTCTCCTCTGTGGCAAGTCATCTCTTAAGTCTTTCCAAAAGGTATGCCCCAGAAATATCTGCATCTGGTAGATTGGATTGGACTCTTCTACTGCGCGTTTTGGTTCCTCCCTCCAGTATTACATCACTACTGTGTTTTGCCGTGGTGTAGCAGCAAGTGGATGTAACCACAGCATGTGGCAGAGGATGCAATCACTGAGAAGTGTAGGAAGCTAAAGATTCTTCCACAAGCCACAGCTCTTAAAGAGGAAGAAATAAGCACTGCATGCTGGAGAAGTATGTATTAAGAGTCTTTACTTGCAGGCAGGGTTTGCCAGAATTGTTTTTTAAGGAACAGTCACTTTAAAAGACACTTTAATGCTACGTCCTTTTTTATAGTGGTAGGCATTTGTATGCATGGAAGGTGCTGCTAGCCCTTGGAGGCTGACATACAGCATGCTAAATTCTAGTCTAGCTGATCTAGTGGGGATGATTTATTAAAGGCAAATAGGCTGTTCACTTTGTCCCAGAGCTTAGTGAATGAGGTGAAATTCTTTGTTTTTGTTATTTTCCTTGCATGTGATCGGGTATTTTTTGCAAAGTGAAATTTCACCGTTTTTGCATAGCTCTGGGGGCAAACTCCTGCGCAAAATGCAACTTCCCTTTCAATGTGAACAACCTATTTGCCTTTAGTAAATCAACCCCTGTGCCTTTAGTACTTTATGAGTCCCTTATCCACAGGCACGAAGAGCAGAAGTTCTGATAGCTGTATGCTTGTTTGGGTTCAATATCTCAAAGTATAAAGCCAAAACAGCCAGGCAACTAGCATTATTTAGAAGGAGGCCCTCATTCTCTCACAGGCTTAGGGCCAAAAAAGTTTAATGATTTGATCTAGAGTTCAAACCTACTACAACCACAGAACAGGGGAACCGTAGAGAAGCTGTAGAAATGTCAGCTTGAGACGGCTTGCCAAAGAATCATACTTCCCCAATATCTTCCCCCTGGAGAACCAGTAATTTAATCAGCTCTACTTTCTGTGAGGTTTAATATAACAGCTTGCACTATAGATTATCTGTGATAGTAGTAGGTGTCACTGTAAACCCCAAAGTCACCATGCTGTGTTGCATATAATTTATGATGCCATTGTGATGTGTTTCTGCTTAGTGTTGTGCGCAGAAGGGACCCATTACCAGCAGTATGAAATCCAAATGGCTTTAAACCAAAGACAGAGCAGTTATCAAGCTGTGATACTGTAACTATTACCATGAGCTGATCATGTATTACATTTGTGCGGCAACATGATGCACTTCAGAGTCTTCTTTCTCGCTGTTATGTCACTCTACAGCCGTGCTTAGAAAATGCATGTATAATTACATGTGCAAAGAAACAGTTTATCATTTTAATGAGGCAACTAACCCACCTATTTCAAGGATAATATAGGTGCTCAACCAAAGATAAATCTACAGAATAAGGTAGTTAGTGCATGGAAATCACTGGTAATTAAAATACAGAGCATTCCAATGATATTTGAAAGCATTAACCAAAACGCTCCCGCGTATGTGGACTATTTACGGCTATAGAGAATGGGCAATTTGCTTAGACAATACAGTATGTAATTACATTAACTAAGCAAAAGGCAGGTAGATCAACAAACAGGCATATACATAGACAGACATATATTTTAGATCTGTGTGTCTGTCAGTCTGTATTCAGTAAAGAAACAAAGCAACAGATAGGCTTATGTAATATGGCTTAAAGTGAAAGTTAAGGCAAAACCTAACTAACACTAAACCCACTCCCACCCCCATTCTAAACCTATTCTATCTAACCCTGTAAAGAAGATATGTATACTTACCTATTCTGAAGCCGCTCCAGTCCAGTCTCCAGCGGTGGCTTCTGTATACAAGAAAGATTGCTGACAATGGCTGGAAATGTTTAGGAGATGACATCATGCATTGACTTACTATGGGGCATCCATTGTCAGCTGTTCTTCCTTTACACGGAAGCCGCCGCTGACAGCTGATCATATGACCACACCAGAGCAGCTTCAGAATAGGTACGGTAACTATTGGTCATCCTTGAATGCTTATTTTCTTCTTGTTTTTTAGTAATTTTTGGGATCTTTTATTTACAGGGTTAGAGAGAATAGGTTTAGAATGGGGTGGGAGTAGGTTTTGCCTGAACTAGCGCTTTAACTACATGACTTGAATCTCCGCTGATTGCCGATGCACCGGGTTAAATTCGAGCTATAGGTTTTCCTGCTGATACCAACTGGCTTGACTAAAGTCAATTGAACAATCAACTTTTGTCGAAGGAGCCGGTCAATAATTGTCAGATGCCCAGTGACTGCAGCCAATCAGATGATGAGCTGCCGAGCGCAGGCCAATTGGGCCCAAGTAATGACTGTATAGAGAATTTGACCTGCAAAAATCCGTATCCAGTGCCCCTCTAACCACTACCTCTTGGAGATTACAATAGCAGGCAAGGATGATCCATCTATCCACACTTTTTGACAGCTGATCTTGTGACCAGAGGAGCTTCAGAATCGGTAAGTATTAGTCATCCTTGAACACCCAGTTTTCTTTGTTTTTAAAGTAATTTTTGGGATCTTTTATTTAGAGGGTTAGATTGAATAGGCTTAGAATGGGGTGGGAGTAGGTTTTGCCTGAAGGTGTACTTTAACTACACAACTTGAATCTCTACTGATTAATAATTAATTGGGTGAAATTCGAGCTTTAGGTTTACCTGTTGATACCAACTGGCTTGATAAAAGTCAATTGAACAATCAACTTTTGTCTAAGCAGCTGGCTATAGGTTTTCCTGTTGATACCAACTGGCTTGACAAAAGTCAGTTGAACAATCAACTTTTGTCGAAGGAGCTGGTGTATAATTGTCAGATGCCCAGTGACTGCAGCTAATCAGACGATGAGCTGCCAAGCACAGGCCAATTGGGCCCAAGTAATGACTGGATACAGAATTTGACCTGCAAAAATCCGTATCCAGTGCCCCTCTACCACTACCTCTTGGAGATTACAATAGCAGGCAAGGATGATCCATCTATCCACACTTTTTGACAGCTGATCATGTGACCAGGGCAGCTTCAGAATAGGTAAGTATTAGTCATCCTTGAACGCCCAGTTTTCTTCGTGTTTTTTAGTACTTTTTGGGATCTTTTATTTAGAGGGTTAGATAGAATAGGCTTAGAATGGGGTGGGAGTAGGTTTTGCCTGAACGTGTACTTTAACTACACGACTTGAATCTCCACTGATTAATAATGAATTGGGTGAAATTCGAGCTATATATTTACCTGTTGATACCAACTAGCTTGATAAAAGTCAATTGAACAATCAACTTTTGTTGAAGGAGCTGGTGGATTATTGTCAGATGACTGTGACTGAACCCAACAGATGATGAGCTGCCAAATACAGGCCAATTGGGCCCAAGTAATAACTCCTATATGTAATTTAACCCGCAAAAATCCGTGTCCAGTGCCCCTCTACCACTACCCCTTGGAGATCACAATAGCAGGAATGGATGATCCATCTATCCACAGTATCTAGCATGGATAGAGTGATCTGTTGGATTTTTTTTTTGTTCAGCCCATAGTCCTGATATCTATAAGTGTATTACCAGCTTTAGGGACTAATATATGAAAATATCTTAAAGGGCAAATATCGTAGGTCCCCTTCACGTTGTAGCATTGTATTACAGTGCTGTACCGCATGCATGTTAGCATGTGTTGCATGAACACAGCCCATTTATTTTGAATAGGCTGCCAGCACACCACAATGCAAAACCAGAGTCAAGCTTAATTTTAATGTATTACATGACAATGTAATACATGACAATGTGGATTGCAGTATGTTGCACTGCAGAGCACATGTGTCAGCACCTACTGTACTTGTGTGTTGGGGTGCCTTTCAGTGACTAAACGTCAGGTACGCCAGGTAACTAGCATTTTTAGTTGGTGCATGTTAATATACCAAAGAGCAAATGGAAATAACCACATCAGAATTGATATTTTGGTGATATAAATTGTTGTCATGGGTCTCTGCACTTTGTTTTGCTCTTTGTACTGCCTTATTGATTGACCTCAATGTATTTCACAGAAGTCAGCAAGAGGTTAAAATCTCACTACTAAGTGGTTAAAGATATCACATGTAGCTTAACAAAGATAAATGAGGATGTTCAATGCATAGTAACCCATAATAACCCAATCCGAAAAATAATATCTTAATGGATCTGATTACAGTAAATTAAATGTGATTGGCTGCTACAGATTCACATGTGTACTGTGTATCATAATAATTGTTTTCATAAAATAGTGTATTCACTTTTTTTTCTTTTTTTCTTCTTCTTAGAATTCTCCTCCAGCCCTTTTTGGCCGTTTCCTGTCTATATGCACTCGCTCCCGTTTGGCCGTGCATCTTTGCATTGAACGTGTTTTCTGATGGGTGGATCATGCCTGCCCGATGTGTGTCAAAACAACTGCTTGTAGTCTTGTCACAAGGTGACAATTCATAATCATGAATATTTTCCCATCCCAACCTGGGTAAGTCTGGAGCATGGGGGAGGGGGTACTTTAGCAACGATCAGTTGGTTAACTGGTGATTAACGTACAAAAATGCATATGTTGCCAACCTACCATGAATCCATTAAAAAGTACAAGGTTTTTATTAAAAATGATCACACAACGGACTGCTTTGTCAAACATGTAATAAATGCAATGTAATGCAACAGGCATGCATTTAAATCACCAATCAGATAAGAGCAAACATCAAAGGGAAACTCCCTCTTGACCTCTAAGATCATAATGACATGATAAACCTGCCAAATTTAGGAAAATAATAGCCACTTTAACATTATATCACATGTATACCACAATGGCATAGTAAACATAATATTGAAAGGAGGGTCCAGGGTACCTTAGCACATCAAACACAGCATCTCTCAACCTTACTTATTACTACCTGTTGTAAAAAGAATATGATCAGACACATCTGTCTAAACAGAGAGTGAGAGACATAACAGCCTGGATCAGGACGAGTTCAGTTACTAGGCAGCGACGCATGCACAGCACAGCGGCGGATCCGTCAGTTAATCTGGCCCAGGTCACTGTTTTGTAGGGTTACAATTCAGGAGCTTAACTGGGAGACAGTTGTCACCCTATAAAAGGAAGTGTTTGCTCAGGGACTTTCATGGCAGGATCACAGCTATTATTTTATTGAAAGCTTCAGATTTAAAAAGTCTAAAAACAACCAATTTTGGAAATTACACATTACAGTTTATATGAGATTTTAATGACTTGGTTTAGATGTACTATTAATTAGCAAGAATGAGTGAGCAACAATGCACTTACACAGCTTCTGTACAATCAGGTGGACTCTTGCAATAGACACATAATACATCAGTTGAAACAAAGGAAGGTCAACAGTCTGTTAGGCCCTAGAATCGCTATGATAATGCCTGCAATTTCAAAATGCTCTGCTAAAATGTCAAATCATGGAACCACAAGTTAAGGTGCCATTCATTTTAATGTCAATCAGCTATCAGTATTTGGGTAATCATGCTGCAATTGCAGCAAACCACATGACATGACATGTGTCTTCCCAAAAAAGTTCACTTCTTTTGGGTGGCATGCAATGCAGTTTGCTGTGATTGCACCGTGATTTATCATGCGACAATTGTGGCAGAGCCACACTGCGTTTTCCGGTGCCATGGAAATCAATGGCACCTTAACACATGGTTGTGTGATCTGTCATTTTAGCAGAAAATTTTGAAATTGTGGGAATAATTGCGTTAATTCTGCCCGCTATTCAAAACATCCTAGTGTGAATGGGGCATTACAGTCAACTTTTTAAATTATCAGTAACATTTTTGGGTTTACAATTTTTTTTTGTTTTTTTTTTGCAGCTAAAGTCAGATAAAAACATTTTATAAGGACAGAAGCCACGTGGTGAACATTCAGGTAATGAGCTCGCAAAATGATTTCACTATTTATTTAACACCGTTCCTCTGTAAGGCTTAACTTCTTAATCTTTCCTGTTAGAGGGTGGCTATGTTCATTCTTCATGATCCGACTGTATGCAGGAATTTAGCCATCGTCTCTTGCTCACTCTAGAGATGGACTATGGATTTGCAGTGAGCATAGAGCAGTGTGTGTGGCCACAACCAACGTTTGCCTGTTATTCCAAACAAAGGTAAGTAAGGGGGAAAAGGAGAGGTTCAGGAGCACACAGAGGACATTACAAGGAGGCAGACATACACAGTAGGAAACAGTAGGAAACAATTCCATGAACAATAGATTGCAGGGCCATTAAGTAGTGAATGCGTATGGATTATCTTTGGAGAAAAAGGATACCGTCTTACCTTCTATTTTCTGTACATTGTCAAAAAAATCTCTGACAATTTTATCATGTTCTCGTCTGAATTGTAAATATTACATTCTGTCAATATGCAGTGTGGACATTTCCCCCTCTAGTTTCTGTAGATTAGTCTGACTGTGTACTACACACCACTGTGCTCCCCCCAGCTCACAGTTTGTATGCTCTGCTCCTCCACTTGCTGGCGGTTTAGATGATGCCATCATTCAGAAAGAGCAATGATGGCACAACTCACAATCAATGCTAGAACAGTCCACAATCAATGGGATTATCAAATGAGAGACATTGCTTACAAGTTTTGCAGCAGTGAGCAGCTTGTTATACTGATGTGTCCATGTAGGCTGCAGAACAGCAACTGCAAAATAAACAGCAAAAAGACTGGATTAGTAATAGCTCCAAAGTGCGGAAAACCACAGCTGAAGGAGTATGCTCTAATGCTGTTACATAGCCACCTTCAGCACTGTTTAATGTTAGTGAGGTGGGGCTGTAGTCAGGGCCGAGCAAAAGGCTTCTGGAGAAGTGCAGGACATGGAAAAATGGCCATTGCCTAGAAGTCCCTTATTCTTTTGGAGAGGGTGTTCATAGTACTAATACCAAATAAAAGTGAGGACATTGAATGATATCCTATTATAAATGTTTCAGGTTATGTCCACTCATATAACTGTAATAAAGTACCTATATCTAAACCCTTAATGGATATTCAGATTGCTAAAATTCTGTGTATCATAAATATTTGTCAGACTTCTTTTCATAACATAGTTTGTCACCTTTGTTTTTCTAAGAGCAGTTAATTTTTTTTTAACCACTTCCAGTCTACATGTGCATGTTCCAGCATTGTCTGTATGTAATTTCTCTGGACTGGCTTCCTAACTGTGGACCTGCTCCATGTGTTGGGCAGCACAGTGGCTATATGGTTAGCACTTCCGCCTGGCAGTACTTGGGTCACTGGTTCAAATCCCAACCACGGCACCACCTGCCTGGAGTTTGTAGGTTCTCCCTATGCCTGTGTGGGTTTCCTCCAGGTACTCCAGTTTCTTCCCACACTCCAAAGAAATGCTGGTAGGTGAATTGGCTCCTGTCTAAATTGGCCCTAGTATGTGTATGTATGGATGTAAGTTAGGGACCTTAGACTATACCCCCCTTGAGGGTTAGGGACTGATGTGCAATATATATGTAAAGCAGTGTGTAAATTGATAGCACTATATAAGTACCTGAAATAAATAACCATAACATTTTAAATTAGATTTTACACCCCTTGAGGGTTAGGGACCAATGTGAATGTACAATATATATGTAAAACATAATTAAGTACCTGAAATAAATAAGTACCAAAAATAAATAAATGTGTCAACCATGTCTAAATCAGGGGTGACTGGTGCATGGTGCACAAGTGGGAGACAGTTGTCACCCATAGCAGTAAGCACCTGAACAAGGACTTCCCAGGATTGCTGGGAAGTATTAGAATTAAAGATGAGTACTTAAAGTGGAAGAAAAGCCTGAGTTTAACTATTCTTAAAAATGTTCCCTCCCCTCTATTCCTACCTATTTTGCCTAAAATGTATAAAAAGGATCTGTGTACTTACCTATATTTAATCTGCCCTGGTCCGGTCATGTGATCCTGCAACTCCGGCTCAGGGAGCATTAAGAAAAAGCTGTGGATTCCCAGAGTGATGATGTCACCCATAGGCTCTCATGTTCCAGTCACTGCTGGCGCTCTTTCCTCCTGCAGCCACAGTTCACTGACACAGAGCTGTAGGAACAAATCAGAGCAGATTAAAACTGGTAAATACACATCCCTCCAAAGACAGGAATCAATGCAGCTCTGCATGCTAATCCCAAATCACCCTGAAGTCATAGAAAGAGAGAATTACTGTACACTCATTTGATTAAAAAAAAACCTTCCCTCTGAGATCCCACAAGATTTCAGGGTGGAAAAGGTTTTTTTTCTTTTAAAGCATATGACTGTAATTTACTGCGCATGCGTGAGATGAGACACATGGGGGTTAATTTACTAAAGCTGGAGAGTCCAAAATCAGACTCACTTCTGCATAGAAACCAATCAGCTTCCAGGTTTCATTGCCAAAGCTTCATTGAACAAGCTGAGGTTAGAAGCTGATTGGTTTCTATGCAGAAGGGAGTCTGATTTTGGACTCTCCAGCTTTAGTAAATAAACCCCATGATGTCATCGGTGATCCAGCAAAGAGGAAGACAGTCACCGATGATGCCTTTTTTTTTATAATTGCAGCATGCTTTTCCATCCCATGGGGATGGCACTGGGGAAGCCATTTGAGAAGAGAGTGGATAAGAACTACTATGGTTGCTAGATTCACTACATAGATTGATTATGGGGGTGGGCAGTGAAACCTCAAATGAGGGACATACATGGCCAGTTCACACTATACTAAGATCTGAATGCGTTGTGCATTCCTGTGAGAATCTATGCGGTGCAATTTCGAGCTCATTCATTTGAATGGGCTAGAAATCGTACCGCACCACGCTTAACGTAGTACATGCACTACTTTTTCTAAACGCATGGCACCCACATCGCATGGTACTTTGTATAATGCTGTTTGGTAAGCGCTGGTGCGAGCCAATGCAATGCGTTTGTAACCTGTGTTCAGGGTGTCGTTAACTTTAACTGACCCTCGCAGCAGATCGCAAAACCATTGCGATTGGAATGCAGTGCGCAAAGCCGCATGGGAACGTGGCTCTCAGGCACCATATTCTTGTGTGAACAAGCCCTAAGTTTATAAAGCATAGTAGGGAAGATTTACTAAAACTGGCGCACTCAGAATTGGGTGGAGCTGTGCATGGTAGTTAATCAGCTTCTAACTTCAGCTTGTTCAATAAAGTTTTGACAATAAAATCTGGGAGTTGATCAGTTTCTATGCAGAACTACACCAGATTTTGCACTCTCCAGTTTTAGTAAATAGCTTCCTGTATATCATATAAAATTGCCCTTTAAAAAAAAGAAAACAGTTTTTTTTTTTACTTTTTTCATAGGGTTCATGTACACGGGACGTTTGGAAAACACTTCTGAACGATGGAAACTGACTGCTGGAAAACATAGGTTAAAAAAACGTCTGTTTAGCCACGTTTGCATACTACGTTTGCGTGTAGAAGTGTTTTTTAAAGATAACATCAGGAGACCTTCCAAAATGCCCAGAATGCACTGAAAAACAGTAAAAAATTAATTATTTCAGACATTTTGAGATAAATAGATAGAGCAGAAGCAGAGAGGGCAGTATGTGTTGAGATTACCTATCTTTTCTGGTTGTATTCACTATGGATCCCATCATGAGCATAATGCAGCACATTCTACCATTTTTTCCTTCACATAAAACCTGGAACTGACTGCACTGGTGCACCGGGTCCATTTGAATACATGGAAAATGCTTTGCATGCATTTCTGATGATGAAAAAAGGCTCTGGACAGCATCTGGATATGGAGCAGTTAAAAAACGCTTCTAAACGCAAATGCTTATAAAGGCGGTTAGCTGTGTTTACACGCGTTTACAAGCATTTGCCGTTTGAAATGCTGATAAAATCTATTCCTGAAAGCTAGTTTGGTGCGTTAAAAAAAACCCGACTGTAAACTCAACTGCCTGTAAACAACTGTAAATGACGATGTGTTTATGGACATATAGGAAAACATTAGGGAGAGTTCAGTGGCTGCTGAAAAAAAAATGCAGAAAAGCTCCTGATGTGAGTTTATCAGCTGCAGTGTACATGAACCCTTACATTGTTGCATCTCAGTTCTGATGGTCTCTTGCAGCCTCTTTACAGTCCTGTCTACATGCACTACAGCCAGGGGCGGACTGACCATTTGGAAACTCGGGCAATGCCCGAGGGCCCGGGGTCAGTAGGGGGCCCCATGAGATGCCCCTGGTACCTTTTTCATAGGCATTTTTGAGTTTGGGCAAGGACACAGGGGCCCCATGATCCTCTATTGCCCGGGGGCCCCATGAGTTGTCATTCCGCCCCTGACTACAGCGATGGTTGCCTGGCAGATCTCAGGGTGGGTTTCTTTATGATGACAACAGTGGACCATGCTTGCATAGTTTGTGGTAAAACAGGCACTTGTAGTCTCCATCTGGTGTCCTTGTGACAGGGTGACAACGCAGGAGCAATGTAGTCCTATAACTGTACGTACCTACACAAGGACTTTCATAGCAGGACTTCCAATTAATATTTCAATGAGAGCCAGGGGAATTAAAAATAACGAACAATCACTTTTGAAATAACATTAACATGGTAATTTCATTTTAAAGGTTATTTGAGATTTTAATGACTGTGCTTAGATCTACTCTTAAGCATTTACGTTTTCAAAACATATATTTTATTTTAACCCCATTGTACAAAAAAACAGCGAAACGCTTATAAAGTCATTTATATTAATATTTATTAATGGCTTATTTCATGCAGCTCACTATTACAACGTTCTCTGGAGAACACAGAATGTAACACCAGGATTACTGTATACACAGGACACTGACAGTTGCACTTTGTGGTGAGTTCACACTGAAACTCTGTCATTTCTCTGTTGGTTTTGAAAATCAAAATGTAACCCCTTTACCACAGCTACACTCCTATGAGTCTTAATACCATCCGCTGCATCTTGCTTTGTTGTCCAGTTCTGGAGACCACATGCTCCCCTACACCCTATAGGTATGTTGTGGCAGTTGCAATG